ATGGATGAAGCAAATTTAAAGTGAGAAATTCACCTTCATGACAGGAGAAACAGAAGATGCTGGAAATAACAAACAGCTGGGGAATAGTGGCTCCAGGAAATAAAGAGATATTTCTCTCTAGACACCTGACTGTGCTCTTACAAAATTGTGTAAGTGTGCTGATGTCAACAGAGAGTCCAGATTAATTGTGAGCAGAATTGGGAAGTACTGTGTAAATAAGGATAGCTGCACTGGAGTCATGAACTTCAGCAAGAACCTGTTGTTCAAGAACTGATTTTGTTTCAGAAGTCATTACTTTGCTATTGGTAGAGTTCCCTGTAGAAGGATTAGATGAAGTCATTCAAATTCCTGGTGGGCATTTATCTACATCTGAAATCCTGCCACCTTTCCTGTTTGTCAATACACCAGCTAATCCATTAAAGATAACAGGGAAATCAGACTGCAGGAATCAAATTTCTCTTTGATATAGCTTTAAGCTAAAAACTGCCTCTACCAATGCATGAGCTGTAGTTTTCACACAAGGCTGGCTAACCTGGATAAAAAAGGTGTCAGTCTCCAGACTTATTCCTCTAGCACTATTCACTAACAGAACATTTCTTTTGAATTTTAAACCATTTTCCTCACATCTATCCAGGCTTTCTATCTAAATTCAATAATGATGATAATTTCATATATCCATAACGCAGCCATACAATATTTATGCTCTGTGGCAAGAGACAAGAATGATCACAGCTGTCTGGAGAGCTAGACAGGGCATGTAACCACCAGGCAAAAGCTTAAGGTGCTCTCACTGAAGTTTTTTCACTTTCAGAAACAGCTCAGAAACACCCACAGCCTATTCCCTCAGCCCACCCACAACTGCCAGCAGTACCTTACTGTCTGTTGTTGAAGGTGAGAAAACCAGAATTAATCTTGTTGGTGACACCAAAACAAGTGGCCCTGCTCTGTGGTCTGCACAGGCTTTGATGCTCACCAGACCTTTGGTGGATTGGTTCTGCTCAACAGACAGTCTGAAAAGCACAACCAGCAAAATGTAAAGTGTTTTTTGCCTGCTTTGAGAGTTGAACCTGTTCAGCAGTTTCACACACAGGAAACTGGCACAGGGAAAGGGAAAGAGATGGGAGGAGGAGGGAGAAGGAAGAGCACCCTGTTCCACAGCAGCAAACCTTCACTTTAAAGCAGCTCATCATGTGTTTAGCACAGTAGCTCCTATGACTTGAAAGGGAGCCCCAAATACTTCCAATGGCTCAGGGGGAGATGGGCTCATGCATCAGAGAGCAATAGAGTGTGATGTGCAGTCACAATGAGATATCTCTCTTCTCCAGGCTTAATAAATGTCCTTTTTGTTTTCCCTCAATGAATTTTGCTTCTGAGAAGAAAAGATCCTGCAGGACCATGTGCACAACTCAGAAAATAATCCAGATACCAGTCTAACTAAATATCCTTCCACCTCTCCCCAGAGCTCAGCTCAGACAAACAGCCAGTTAACTGGTGCTGACTGGTGTTAACTAATTAACACTGGCTCCTAAGAACTCATCTGATTACACCCTTCATTACAGCTGGAAGAAAATAGTTTCTGCTTCCTTAATAATATATGGGTTAATGTATTCATACCCAAAATCAATACAATTTTTTTCTCCTACTATTAGTCTTGAAGGGAGTAATGGTTATTTTTCTAATCTATTAAGAACTGTATAGTAATTATTTTTTTTATATCCTCCTTCTCTGGAGCCTTGTTAGGTTATAAATTAATCATTAATTGATTTTAAAATGCAAGGGTTTGGTGTTTTAATTTTAAAGAAATTTGAATTCTAATGCTTCAGAGCCTGCCTCAAGCAGAGAGGAACCTCTACACTGATTTTTAAAATGACCTCATTGTCCATTTTACTGTTTATCAGAATGTGTGCAAGTTTTCTAATAGACTGTGAGTCACTGGAATAGCCAGCAAAAGCTTGTACATATTTTCAACTCTTGTTGTTTGAAGAAGTATCCCAATTTTTCTATCTTCCCATTAGCTGTGAAGTACTCTTGTGCACAGACCCAGTGGGACAGTCCCAGAGCTCCCTGACCAGGAAAGGGAGAGGGAAAAACCTGTGCACAAGCACAGGTACACACAGGTACACACACAGGGACACACAGGGACACACACACAGGGACACACACAGGGACACACAGGGACACACACACAGGGACACACACACAGGGACACACACACAGGGACACACACAGGGACACACACACAGGGACACACACACAGGGACACACACAGGGACACACACAGGGACACACACACAGGGACACACACACAGGGACACACACACAGGGACACACAGGGACACACAGGGACACACACAGGGACACACAGGGATACACACACAAGGACACACAGGGACACACACAGGGACACACACACACAGGGACACGCAGGGACACACACAAAGGGACACACACACAGGGACACACACACGGACACACACACAAAGGGACACACACAGGGACACACACGCACAGGGAGACACACACAGGGACACACAGGGACACACAGGGACACACACACAGGGACACACACAGGGACACACAGGGACACACACCTCTGCCTCTCGCAGGGGCCTGGCAGCCAGGCCTGCAGAATGACAGCTCCAGCACACAGATAATCCCGTTAGCAGGGATTGCAGGAGACATTTAAATAGCGATAAGAGAAATACTCCGGCTTCCTTTTGCTCCTGAAGTCAGCAGATACCTTGCTAGGCAAGTGATTACTAATAAGTTACATGTAATCTTTAAAATCCCTGCAGTGTACATTATGTAACAAGGATGGATTTTGAATTCATTTTCTTTTTGGCTTTTCTTTTTTTATTGCATTTCCCTACTTTCCCTTCTCCTCCCTTTTGCCAAATTCTGAGGCAATTTTGTTGGACACAAAAACTTTATCTCCTTTCCTTTGTAGTAATTTCCCTATTTCTAATATGTTTTCCCACACACAGAGACATTTGGTTAAAAAAAAAAAAAAAGTAGTCTTCTGTTATCTAGCAGGAGAAAGAGAACAGAAGTACCTTGCTGTGGAGGGAGACCTCTGATCACATCTATAAATATTTGGCATTTTTGTATCTTAGCTCATGTTACTGGCTGATGACCTGGCTGGTGAGAATACATGGGGAGGCATCTATGCCCGATTTAACTGATGCTTTTGGAACCTATGTTTCCTATACAGCCAAAAAACATAGACCTCATTCCAGGCACTTTTGAAACTCACAGAGCAGCACTCTAAATACTGAAAATGGTCTATAGCTCAACTACTAAAATTCAGGAAAAAAAAATATATATTCACCTCATGTAGGTTATTTTTAAAATGTGTGGGCTTAAAGCTTTATATTCCCATTGCTTCCTGAGCCTAAGGATTTTGTGATTTAAGGAGACTTTTCATCCACCTAAGCCAAGAGGCACATAAGTTTCTGCTGAGGAAAAAAAGAATTAAATGACTGTTGCTTCAGCTGCTAGGCATGGCATGATGTAGAGGGAAGCAGTGCATAACTGATGGGACAAGGTGAGATGTTCCCTTGCAGCATATGAGGAGCAGCAGCTAAGCTGTGCTCTATGAGCAGGAATTAAAAGCAGCCTCTTGCTTAGTCAATTGCTTATCCAAATGAGGAGAGCAAGGTGTAAGGAGAATTCATTACTTGCTGGCTTGGTTAATCAGTCTCATAAGTACTCAAACCTAACAGCCATTGAAAAATCAGCAGCTTCCATTGCTGGGTACGTGAGTGAAACTCTGCATGTGTCACATAAAGGATGAGAATAACCAGGTTAAGCCGTAACTGAAGATAATAATTTGATGCAGAGCCCAATGTATTGATAAGCAAAAATGGCAACACTTCAGTTTCACAAATGAGATGAAATATTCAATGCTCCCCAGCACCTCTGAGCTCTGGGGTTGGTTAAGGTATAATATCAGAGTGCTCATGGAACACAGCAGTGATGTGCTGCTGGTGTAACTGTACCTGCTCACAGAATAATAGAACATTTCAATAAAGAGTCAACGCACCAGTCCCAGCCCAGTGTGAAAATCAGGGCTGTGCAGTCTGGTTAGTGATAAACAGAAAGAATGAAGGCAAAACCGTGCTGTGTGTGTGAGACAGCCCCTTCCATGCTTTATTCTGCAAGAGAGGTTGGCATGGTCCTGGGAGACAAGTTGAGGGAGGTTAAAACAAAAAGTTAGCCAGTTTGAAAATTAAAATGCAGGTCCTCTTCCCACTCACCTCCCTGCCTATCCTCACCTCCCAGGTGAAAACAAATAGAACTGACTGAAACCATTTTTTTTACTTATTTAAGAAATATTGTAATGCATGCTCTGAGGAACAGAAAAATCTGTGCCCATGCATATATCTCTGCTTGCTCCACTTATCCTGAATATGCATCACTGACTGCTACTTATGGCAGTGTTCCAGCTCCTCTCCCTCTCCCTCTCCCTCTCCCTCTCCCTCTCCCTCTCCTCCCTGATTTGATGTCTCCTCTTTTGCCTGCTTTCATGTTTCAGCAGGAATAAGCAGACCCTCTCTTGATTTCCTTTTTCACTTTCTATCAAAAATGTGAACTTCAGCCAGGTTTGGAGGGCTGCAGGCAAGGGAAGGCACTGCTTTCTGTGCATGAGCAGAAGGAGTCCATCCCATGGGAGATGGACTCTCCCTGTTGCAGTCAAGGCTCCCAGTGAGCTGAGAGAAGGGCAAAAACAAAGAAACAGCACAACAGAGTCCAGGAATCAGACTTGGAAACAAGGCATTTGATAATTGCATCACAAGCCATTGTTGGGCTTTATTCCCTAACTGGGAACAAGGCCCTGGATAGGAAATGAGCTCTTGGACTTTGAAAAGCTCAAGTAACTAAGCAGGCTGCACCAGCCAGATGTAACCAGCCAGCCTGGTGTCTGAAGTTGTCTGAGGCAAAACCTCTGTGATACTTGTATGTTTAAGAAGAGGAAACAGAAGTACTGAAAACATATCTGGTTACTTTGGAGATAAGACTAATTTATTGAAGGAGTATGACTCTATTTGTGTCCATATGCACAGTCAGGTTTAGACTACCAGGGCTGGTCCATCAGAAGTTTGTGTCTGATGTTAAATGACCATCAGCGCTATCTCTGACATGGCACAGTCCTGGCTTTTCCTAGGATTCACCACTGCACAGTTGAGGAGAGGCAAGGCACCTTGGGAAACCAGGATCCTCCTGACTAAGTCAGCATGGAAGCACTCCAGTCTTCATGCCACCCTGGAAAAACAACAGCTTTTAGGTTGGAGCTCCTTCCTGTCCTCTCAGGGGCTGTGCCTCAACACACTCACACACAGAGCTGCTAAGAGAATCAGGTCCTTGGGAGATGCAGCCCAGAACTGCTGCCCTGATGGCTCTACAGCAGCATGGCTCCCTCCTCCCCCAGTTTGGGCTGTCTGGAGTCTCTGTGCCGAGCTGTCCCCAGGCAGGTCTAATGCCAGCCCCCGTGGGCCCAAATCCCGTTTGCAGGGTGCGCCTGGCAGAGTCACCGCATCCTCCGGCTGGGCAACGCCTGCTCAGGGCCACGCATAAACACTTTACTGCTGGCCATTACATTTTATTGCTCTCTCTAATATGCTTTGAGATAACTAAACTGATGCCTGAAAGAGGCATTTAAACAGTTTTAGCAGTATCTACTTCGCATAATCTGTTTTACAGCAGTGTCTTATGGTTTTACCCATTTAAAATGTGTTCGTTGTTGTTTTTTTAATCAAGGGATTTGCACTATGACCTTTGAGCAACAGCAACCCCGGCAAGAAAACAGCTGGCAACTCAGTGTGCAATACAATCTATGGAGATTAAATTCATTTCATTCCCTTTTAAGGCAGAAGACTGGGAGGCTGGTGAATCCACTGGGATTTTGGTGGATTGAATTCTCTTTTATTTTGAAAGGAGAGCAGAGACTATATGAGCTAAAAAAATAATAGACATTTTTTTGCTCTGTGGATTTATCCCCACTCTGAATTACTTGGCTGGCCTGGATAAGGGAAGGCACGTCAGTACCTTTTTCAGGCTAAGGTCTAGGACTAACAACAAGTTTCCAGCCCTGGAAATACTGAGATACACCCAGATAACTGTGTGCAAACCACTAACCAAATGAATGATAAACCAAACATTTTTTTCTCTTCCTGGCTAGCAAGGAGATAGACTCAATTTTTGGTTTAGGTATCTAAAATGAGATTTTGGTTTTTTAGTCAGAAAGTGGGTGCTTGATATTTCTGTTTGTTTGCAAGAGCAGACAGAAACTCTCACCATCTGAGTGATGTAGGTGACTCCAGTGTGCAGGTCAGCCCCAGAGCTAGCCCAGAGCCAGGCTGAGCTGTGCAAATTTGTTCTGATGGACAGCTTGGTGGGACACTTCATCTGGGCGGGACACACAGCAGGAGCCTCACCAAAAGCCATTGCACTTCACAACAAATCCCATAATTACCATGATCTTCATCCCAGCTGTGGGTGAGGGCAGGAGCCACCTTCCACTGCTCTGCCAGACAAACATGTGTCAGAGGCATCTGCTGCACAGAGAGTCCAGCAAAAGACCAGAGTGACAATTTGGGCACCTAAAAACTTATCTCTGCACACACCTTCCAGTTAATTAAGCTACCTTAATTTATCACTGGGCTGTCTCTGAAACAAATTTGGCCTTTCCAGCCTGATGCAGGGCACCATCACCAGTGAGGGCACAGTAACAGGCTGCATTAAAAACTCCTGTATCTCCAGAGCTCCAGGACTGTTTCTGCAGCTTATGTTCACATCTGCAGCTTCCTTGCATGGTCCATCTGCAACACAGCATGGCCAACATGAAAGCATTTCCTCCCTTCTCTCTTCAAAAAGCCCTTTTGCCATGATGAGAAGCACCCTGATGTTTTGTTTCACAGGAGAGCTCAGAGCTGCCTGGGGAGATTTCTGTTGAGTCTTCAAGGCAAACTAAACCTGACCCTCCAGTGGCAGCCTCCTGCTTGAACTCTGACCTTACCTGCAAAGCACAAGGCAGACCTGAGCTGATGTGGGAAAACTCTCCCAGGATTCTCTTGGGGTGTATATTTTTCAGGTAGTTTTTCACCCTTTGGAAAATTTCTATAGAACCCATGAAGCCTCAGGAAATAAAATAACAGCCATATGCATACTCCTTTCCTTCCCTTCCCCTTATTAGCTCACCAAAGACATATAAATTAATGAACTTTCACAGAAAACCACATGGGTGAAAATCTGCTGGAACTCCCCCAGAGAAGAGAGGTTTCCTGCTCGCCAAGAAGACAAACACGTTTGGGATGGTGAGGAGGCTTGCAAATCGCAGACTGCCGTGGCTGCGCTGTGGGGGTTGCAATTGTGAGTGGCCTTTCCATTTTGGGGGTCACTGTGCTAAATTAAAAACCTACAAGAAAGCCTTTAGTTTAGGTTAATGGGATGTCAAATATTACATGGATTAAGGCAAATCATATATATTTTTTATTTTTTTTTTATTTTAAAGAGGAATTAGTCTCACTAATCTCCCGGGTACACCAAAGCTCAAGGGAGGCTGTACAGTTGTTCACTAGATGGAGTCTGTGCTATTGTACTTTTTCATGTACATATCTATGAACCATGTACCTAGATTAAATTTGTTCTGTCTTCCCCTCTCCCCCACTTTGAGGATTAAAAATGAAATTATATGGTTCCTTACTTACCCGCTTCCTTTCCAGCCCATTAACTTCATCCTTCTTCTTTTCAGGTCCTACAAAGGGATGGAAAACTTCCTTTATGCATAGGGAATTTGGGGAATGATACCATGATATCAGGGGGAAGGGATGCTGGGAGAGTATTCTTTGCAATCACAACTTTCAGGGCTATGCTTTAATATAAAATGAGGAGGAAAATATCTTTCAGCAGAGCTGTTTGAGAGCTCACATTTGAAATATTTGGTGGATGGTTAGTTTCCACAGCATGAAAAATATGCAATGGGAAAATGTTCCTACTGCTTAAAATCAAAATCATATTTTTTTTCATCACAGAAATACTTTGTTCCATCTCAGAAAGCAAAAAGCACTGCCCTTATGCTCGGAGGAGGCACATTTTAAATTTTAAATTTTGGGGAAGGGAAAGTCTTCACTGCAATAAAAGAGAGTAAATGTTTAAAATGATCCTTAAATCACTGCCCCTTCACACCACACCACCAGGCAGGCTTGTTAGCTCAATGCTGCAGAGTTTCAATGCTGCTATTTTGCATCCAAGACACAGCAATATGGTAACTATTGCCTTCCTTTGGGCTGAATAATTTTTTATTGAAAGAATATGATGTCATTAGGGTCTTTTTGCTGAAGGTATTTCCACATCTCAATAAATTACCGTCACACACAGACATTGATTCTCCTTGGGGGTAGCCTCAACAGAGAGGGCAAGGACTGAATGGGCCAAGGTGACTGAAAAAGCCTGAAAATTAAAGATAGGAAAAACTCTTGGTTGTAATGAAGGTACTTCCAGGTCAATTCCAGTGCTAAAAGACTGAGGTTGATTTAGCCTGTTGTCCTTTAAATTCTTTGTGACTTGCTCCTCAAAGCCAAGTTCATTGGACATATTGACAACCCTATAGACTCCTGGAGAAAAAAAAAAGTCTTCTTATAAGCCATTCTTCTAGGTTACTAATGATTATTTGAATCCCTTTCTGTCCCTCTGTTTTGGCCACTACTGCAGCATAAGATTGCTCTTATGTCAGATCAGCTTTGTATTGAAATGTAAAGAGCAGAAAAGGCACTTTTTCCACTTTTATTTAACTAGCCACCATTTGCATTTACAAGACAAATGGTTTTCAGCATTAAGGGTGATCTGCCATATCAATTCCTGATTCGTGCTGTGGGTACAAAACAAAGAAATCAAGCTGGTATTTCTCTCAGTACCAAAACTAAACAGTGAAAAGCAGTGGTGAAACTTTTTTCTTCCATGCTCTTTTCTCATCATTAGTTTTCACCACCTGGGTCTCTCTAGTCTGGGTGTACACCTCTGCTATAACTGTTCACCTTTCCCTTCTCCTCACACCTAGACAGGAGTGGAATTTTACAGTTTATCAATGCTAAAAGCAATCTGAAAGTATAATTTTAGGTTTAAAACTGTTTGTTAACTAAATTATAACGGTTGTCTTTTAACATTAATCTTTTTTGCCTAACTCCCAATCAGTTCTGAAAATGTGCAAAGCCCCCGCTGCAAGGACTGATGTTAATTTGCACTAAACCCACCTGAACACATGGCTTGTCTTCCATTTTTATTCTTAAAAAAAATAAAAAAAATCTACAAAAAAAAAATTGAAGTCAGCTTTAAAACCTGGTGTGCTCTTCCTGAAAATACACAATACTTTCTTAATGAATTGGCATAAAATGAGAGCCACAGAGCAGATCTGAGCAACCCTATTCATCAGGTTTGATATAGCTTGGATTGTCTTTCCTAACAGAGTGATAGAATATTGCTAAGCAAGGGTTTTATTAAAAAATTGAAACGTTTTCAAAAGTTTTCATTACTGATTTTCATCTAAGCTCCTTATGTATTTTTATTGCATACGTAAATCTGAAACCACAAAAGAGTTGGGTGTTTTTAAAAGTAAAATTTTCAAAATTTTGGAAACAACAAAAAATATTTTTCCTGCATTGCTGTCAACTAAATAACCTCATTTTCTCTGTGCTTATTTAATCCAGTGAAGGATCCAGTCCACTGCCTTGAAAAAATCCGAAGAATTTTCATTCTGAAGATTTTCCTGTTTTCCAGACAGGTTCTTCTGCTTGGTAGGCAAAGGAAACCAGGTTCAGGAAGTCTCCTGATATGAAATACTGTGGTAGGTACAGTATTCAGGGGAAACTGAAAAATCACTTGTCTCATTCTTACTGTTCCCTAGGTACCTGCTGATGGTTACAGTTGGAGGAAAAACTCTGACAGCTCTTGAACTCAACAGGTATAGATATTCCTATGTTTTCATCCTACAATTAGGAGAGCTCACAGTTCTTGGCAGAAATACAGAAGTGATGTTATTTGTGAGTGATTTCAAGCCACCCTCCACCCAAGAGCCTCCCAGTTGTGTTGGCAGTGTCCTGTGCACTACCTGCCCTCTCAGACAGGCTGGCAAAACCAAGGGCTCTGATGTGCCTTGAGGCCTCTGGGTTAAAAGTGCTTTCTGTCCCATCCTCTCTAATAACCTTATTAGAAAAGGCTTGAGGCCCTCTAAAGCTTTTGTGTCCAAATACAACTAAGGAAAACTTCCCCTCCTTAGTAAATTGATGATCCTCCTGGTTAAAAATTCCTCTAATGCTTCTAATTCCTTCTGCTAATCATCTCTGCTCACAGCCCTTTTTTAGCTTAATTTTTGGACTTCTTGCTGTTATTTACTGTATTCTGTGGCCTAGAGCAGAGTTTGGGATAACTCATGTGCCATGAGGAACTTGTGAAGAGATGAGCTTACATCTCTCTGCTACAAGGAATGGACACAGTCTAAAACTGTATTTCTTTAATGCAGAGCAATAGAAAATTCAGTTCTAATTTAGAGACTCACCACTGGGAAAATAGGTTTTAGCTTTTAAAATAACCTTTATGTTTTGTTACCTTTTAGGCTGAAATCTGAATCACAGAGGTAAAGAGACAGAGAATCTTAGTATCTTTAAAATTAATCTATTAGAATAAAGCTTTTTTCCCCTGGTCTCACTTGACCTCTCATGTTATTATCTATAATATTCTCCCCAGCTTTTCTTGCCTCAAGCCTCCAGACCCACAGAAAAGAACAGGGAATGGCAAGACTGCAGCTATTTATAATAATAATAATCCATTCCCAGGTTCCAGTGCGGCGGTTTTAATCATAAGCTATTGTCAGGCATCAAGATCAAAAATATTTGAGATTTGATTTGTTTGGGTTATAAAGAAGCTCTGAATGCCAAAGTGTTGTTGCTTAAACTGCAAAGCACAGCTCCTGCATGAAGTAGAATGAACTGGTATTTCCCTCTCTGATCCGATTTGTAGCCATCACAGCTCTTTAAAGTTATGTGATTTGACATCAATTAGGAAGTTTTCACAAGGGGAAAGTCTCTTTTTGCATTTAGTCCAATATCAATGTCATTTTCTTCCTAAAATGTGACAAGGAGCAGACTGCCTCAGCGTGCTTTGCAACAGACACGAAGAATAGGATAAGGAGGAGGAGGAGAAAGGCTTCACAAAAGGAAAAAAAGGAGTGGGAGGACTGAGAAAACATTTCAACTCCATATTCCCATTTTTAAGGCATATATACACAGAGAAACAGACACACAGGACACCCCCTGCCCAGCAGGTGTATTTTGTCAGCACACTGGCGAGCATTGCAGTCGCTGCAAGGATGCAGAGCACTTCAGACCTGTGCATCCTTGGAGGACAGCAAATCTGGTAACAAGAGAAAAGCATTTGTAGAACCTGAATCCCAGCTTTGCTTCGTCTTATAATATTCTGCCTAGGACTTTGCACAGTGCTCAAGGATACAGGGAGCTAATGTAGCACTGGTGTTTGCATTTGCATTATTACTGCTTGTAAAAATGTGTTACATGTGCAATACTCTGTACCAACACACCAAAGTAATATGTTCCCAAGAGAGGTGAGACCAGATTACTGAAAATTTCTTAAAATTAAAACTGTTCTAAGAAGCAGAAGTCAAAGATGGCCTGTTTGCTGAGTGTCATGAGTATCACAGCTGTTGTATTCCCACTTTTTAGCTGGGTGCAACAACAAGATGGACACTGTGCATAGTAATGGAGGGAGAGTCGAAAAGAGTTTCTCTGTACATGGAAGGGCTGAAGAATTCTGATGGATTAAACAGGGGCTTGCAAAATTAAGAGCTGAGACAACTGCAAGTCCATATTAGGAGATGCAAACAGGAGAACCTGAAGGGAGTGTCAAAAAATGGGTAAAACAAAAGTGGAAATGAATACTTTGTCAAAGCTGGTATATTCAGATGAGAGTTATACAGGATTTCAGAGTGCCTTTTTATTCCTCCCAAAACTTTTCCCAGAGATACAGGGAAAAGCTGCCTCAGGGACATCTATCATCATGATTTTTATCTCCATGCCCACACAGCTGCAGTATTTCTGGACTGTACACACAAGTCTAGAGGGTAAGAGTGCTCCACAATTTAAATCCCTCCTCAGGGTACTGAATGATCTAGTTATTGATTGCTTCCTTGCCTCTTTGCCATTAGCTTGTAATGCAAAATACTGGTAACAGATGGAGGAATACTCCTATACACTGAACTCTAGGTAAACCCTTTGTTGCAATCTCCTAAGAAAATAGACAGGCTTGCCACTGTACTACAGCTTTTATTAGAAATGCCACACACAAGCCTAAACTAGGACACCACAGTGGGCCAAGAGGGCTCTATTGCTGATTTATTGGGGGGGAAAAAAATGAGGACATTAGTTAGAGGCAGATGAATTTTCTTAAGCCAGGTGATGTCAAGCTTCAAATGAACTGTTACTGCTGAATCTTTTAGCCTATTAAAGCCACCTTGCTATTTGTGGCAGTTCAAAAATTCCCAGATTACCTAAATATTTCTTGCTTTTTGGGAATGAGCATTTTGATGCTGCCAACCACCATGCAAGATTCAGATCTCATCCATAAATTCATAGTAAAGCAGTGCATCAATAATTGTCTGTCAGGAGAAGACAATGGCCAAGTTCTGAGTGATGCAAAAGTTTTTTGACAAGGATTCCACGCTGCATTTTTGGTGATTGCTCTGTCCCT